CCTCCCGAGAACCCTCAATGTCTACAGGTGGGCACCGCGTCAGAGGTGGGGTTGAATACACAGACCGTCCTCTGGACGCCGTTAACGTGCCCACCCTCAAGGCCCTATATGTATGTGTCATGAGAGTGTGAGTAATGTGTCTAAGTTGTGGAAAAACTGGGATTGTCATAAAAATAATTGCAATGATCTGACTTGTGTTTGTAATCAGACCTTTGTGCTCATCCTCCTGTGAGCTCTGAGTGATTGCGGTTTCACGCTAGTTTCGTATTTGGATATATTTATTGTAAGATGTCATAGCTGAGACGTTTCTTAGTATGAAGCACAGTATTGATGAATTTCATCACCGATTGCTTCATCAGTGCAGACGAGTGGAGGTGAGTGTGCTTTGACTAACATGCACACAGCCTGCAAACAGCCAGTGTGACCTGTGCTCCTCTAGGAAGTCAGTAAAGTTTATTCAAGAACTAAAGTGGCAAAGTGCTTTTGGGTCTGCAGCACAGTCTCCTTTAGTCACCTGGACCGAGCAGGTCCTGACGAGCAGACCTCAGAGACCTCGCAGTTAGGAGTGGATGTGGACCTCATCAATACTCCCCACGATCTGTAACAGTGATCGCCAAAATCTGACAGTAACCCTGAACTTTATGGGGAGCCGGTGTAAAGAGGACACGGTCAGGGTCACGTGGGACCTTTAGGAGGACCCGCCGAAGCCTTCTGCAGCCTCACAGCAGCATCCTGGACCATCTGGAAGTGATCCAGGGATGATTTCCTCCGGCAAAGGAAACCACGAATGACCAGATCAAAGCTTGTATGGTTCCAGTTTACATGGAGACGGATAAACACACGTTTGTACAAGACGATGCTTACCAAATCTGAACAACAGTAACAGCCACACTCCTCACAGCACACCCCTTCTTTTAGCTTCATTGATTCACCTGATGCTGAATTAGTCCCTCTGTTTGTACATCAGTCCTTTCTTTGGGTTTCCCCACAGCACACCTGGAATCACTCCAACAGCAACTCTCCCTGACATTTCAGCTCAGTTGTCCGGCACAAACTCATAAA